GGAAGACAGTCTGGGTTATTCCTGCTTCAGGTAAAGGCAAACCCACTCGTGGGGTTGCTTTTGCTCAGGGACCTGGATATACTTGGTGGGTAATGTGGGAAGATGGGGAAGTCCGATGTGTAGCTCAGGGGGATTTAATTTTGGGGGAAAACAGCCAATCAACTCAGTTATATGCTGTTGACTTCTAAGTAACACTTTCATAGCCCACCAGCTAGATATCTTCAGGTCACCAGCAACTGACCCTGACTTCCTTCCAGTCATCACCCCAACAAACTATAAATTTTGACGAAACCAGGTGAGCTCAGCATTGACCAGACAAGTTCGGCAGCGTCATTAGCAGGCAACAACCTAACACTGCACACCATTCCTCCTGCCATGAAAGACTGTTACAAGAGATGGAGCCTGACATCACGGACTGGATGAATTCAGGAACTTTATAGGATTTAGTCCATGGACTAAGGAACGATGTCTCTCTCTTTGTGTGTGGGGGTGTGTGTGTATATATGTATATAAGACAAAAGTGATGGTATATTGAAAAATGTGAGATCTGAGCATGACGTGAATGGTACGGTATAAGGGGTGGATATTGTCCTGGGATCGGCTACAGCAGACTTTTTTTCTCCTTGTTAGTAGCTGGTGCAGTGCTGTGCTTTTGACTTTCAGTCTGGGAATAACGCTGATAACACTGACGGTTTTAGCTCTTGCTAAGTAATGTTTACTCTGACCAAGGACTTTCTCAGTTTCATGCTCTGCCAGGGAGGAGGGGAAGCCAGGAGGAAGCAGAGACAGGACACCTGACCCAAACTAGCCAAAGGGGTATTCCATACCACAGCACGTCATGCCCAGTATAGAAACTGGGGGAGTTACCCAGAAGGCCCAGATCGCTGCTCGGGTTGGGCTGGGTATTGGTCAGCGGGTGGTGAGCAATTGTATCCTCTCCTCTTGTCTTTTCTTTTATCATTATTATTACTGGTGGTAGCAGTGGTAGCTTTGCATTATACCTTAGTTACTGGAGAGCTCTTATCTCAACCCGTGGGAGTTACATTCCTCCGATTCTCCTCTCCATCCCTCTGGGAGCAGGGGGAGGAAGAGAGGAGGAGTGAGCGAGTGGCTGCATGGTTCTGAGTTACCAGCTGGTCTTAAACCACGAAGCTGATGCAGCTGGTGAGTGAGCCAACTAGGGGAGACACCTGCCTAGATTTGCTCTTCACAAACAGAGAAGGGTGGGTGGGTGATGTTATGGTTGGAGGATGTCTTGGGCGAAGTGATCACAAGATGATTGTATTTTCAATCCCTGGAGAAGTCAGGAAGAAGGTCAGCAAAATCTCCACCTTATACTTCCAGAGGGCTGACTTTGGCTTGTTTAGGATGCTGGTTGGCAGAATTTCTTGGGAAACATTAATCAAGGACAGAGGGGGCCAGGAAGGTTGGACACTCTTAAAGAATGAAATTCTTAACGTGCAGGAACAGGCGGTCCATGTGTGCTGAAAATCAAAGCAGTAAGGAAGAAACCAGCCTGGCTGAACCAGGAGATACTGATGGAACTCTGGAAAAAAGAGAATTTATCACCTGTGGAAAAAGGGACTTTACTCCATGAGAATTACATGGATGTTGTTAGTTTATGTAGAGGGAAAGTTAGAAAGGTGGAGGCACAGCTGGAATTAAATCTGGCCACTGCCATAAAAAGTACCTCTGCAAATATATTAGCAATAAAAGGAGGGCCAAGGAGAACCTCCATCCTCTACTGTATACTAGGGGAAACCTAGTGACTGAGGATGAGGAAAGGTTGCCTTTGCCTCAGTCTTTAATAGTTACACCAGCCATTCTTAGGGTACTCAGTCCCTTAAGCTGGATGGCAGAGATGGGAAGCTGATTGAAGTTCCCAGAATTCAAGAAGAAATGGTTAGAGATCTCCTGCTCCACTTAGGCATACAGAAGTTTATGGGATCGGATGGGTTCCACTCGAGAGTGTTAAAGGAGCTAGCAGAGGAGCTTGCTAAGCCACTCTCCGTCATTTATCAGCAGTCCTGGTCTAGTGGTCAGGTCCCAGAGGATTGGAGGTTGGCCAACCTGATGCCTCTCTACAAAAAGAGCAGGACAGAAGAACCTGGGAACTACAGGCCTGTCAGCCTGACCGTCAGTGCCAGGAAAGGTCATGGAGCAGATGATCCTAAGTGAACTCATGAAGCATGTGCAGGAAAATGGAGGGATCAGGCCCACTCAACACAGGATCATGAAGGGCAGGTCCTGCTTGACCAACCTGATCTCCTTCTACAATAAGGTGACTTGCCTAGCTCATGAGGGAAAGGCTGTGGACTTTGTGCGTTTGAAGTAAAGCACTTGAATCTGTCTCCCGCAGCGTTCTCCTGGAGAAATTTGCTGCTTACGGCCTGCATAGATGGATTCTTCACTGGGTTGGAAACTGGCTGGTGGAGTCCAAAGAATGGTAGATGGTATCACATCTAGTTGGTGACCGGTCACTAGTGGTGTCCCTCAGGGCTTGGTATTAGGTCCAGCATTGTTTCATATCTTCATTGACTATTTGAATGAGGGGATTGAGTGCACACTCAGTTAATTTGCAGATAACACCAAGTTGGCTGGGAGTGTTGATCTGCTGAAAGATAGGAAGGCTTTGCAGAGGGACCTGGACAGGCTGGGCTGTGGCGTTATATCTCACAAGTTGGAAACCTGAGTCCTGCATTTGGGTCACAACAATCCCATGCAACACTACAGGCTTGGGGAAGAGTGTCTGGAAAGCTGCTCAGTGGAAAAGGAGCTGGGGGTGCTGATTGACAGAGCTGAACATGATCCAGCTTGTGCCCAGGCAGCCAAGAAGGCCAGTAGCATCCTGGCTCATATCAGCAATAGTGTGACCAGCAGGGCCAGGGAAGTGATCATCCCCCTGTAGTCAGCACTGGTGAGGCCACACCTCGAATCTGTTTTCAGTTCTGGGCCCCTTACTACAAGAGAGACATTGAGTTGCTGGAGTGGGTCCAGAGAAGAGCAGCAAAGCTGGTGAAGAGCACAAGTCTGATGAGGAATGCCTGAGGGAACTGGGGTTGTTTAGTCTGGAGAAGAGAAAGTTCAAGCAAGACCTTATCACTCTGCAACTACCTGAAAGGAGGTTGTAGTGAGGTGGCAGTTGGTCTCTTCTCCCACATAGCAAGTGATGGAACAAGAGGTAATGGCCTCAAGCTGCACCAGGGGAGGTTTAGACTGGATATTAGGAGGGTATCACACAGAGGGTGATCAAGTATTGAAACAGGCTTCCCAGGGAAGTGGTGGAGTCACAGTCCCTGGACCTGTTCAGAGATGATGTAATTAAGGCCCTCAGGGTTATGGTTCACTGGTGATCTTGGCAGTCTCAGGGTAATGGTCGGACTTGATGATCTCAAAGGTCTTTTCCAACCTACCTGATTCTATGATTCTATAATAATTCTGGTCAAATCAGTGGGATTCATTAAGATAATAATGGCATAAATGAGGGAAAAATTTTGCTCACATACAGTGCAGTCACACATGTTAAATTAATCATAAACAATTAACAGAACTCTGATCTTAATGTTTTCTTTGTTTCCTTCTTTCCAGCAAACCACAGTCTTCATAAATAGCTGTATTAGAAAAAAACCAACCAAACAAAAAAAAAACCACCCCCCAAAAAAAAACTTCCATAAAAACCATCAGTATTCCTTTTCCCTTCTATATGACAGAATCCTAAGTGTATTCTGGTCTTGAGAAAGACTCCATATAGCAATTCACTTAGAGACATAATGAATGCCCTCAAAAATAGCACAGCTATAATTATAATTAACTGATACATGGGCAGTTTACCCATAGATAATGAAGTCTTACTGAAATACCAAAAAGAAAAAAATTACACTTAAGAGAACACTGATACACAATTAAATGAATATAGAAAGCAAATGCCTTTTTAAAATTTAGCCCCTTCTCCCCCAAGTCTCTTCCCATTTGCTTTGGGTTTTTTTGTTGTTGTTGCTTGGAAAAGATGCTGGGACTCTAATTCTATTCTCTTTGAAATACTTTTAACTGAGGTCAGAACATAACCTAGAGACAAAGTAAGTAAGTAGGTGCACTTTAAAATAGCTAACGTAGATAGAACGGATCATGTAAAGTTGATGAACACTATTTTAACTCCTCCATCTCTCTATTTTTCACATGATGGGACAAAAGGTGAACTCCAGAGATGTGGGAAATTAGTATATGGACTCAGAAACAGGTGCATTGAAAGCAGAAAACAAAGAAATTTTTGCAAGAACAGTTTTTTCATTCTAAAAACTTATATTTTGTTCTATTATGTAATGTGTTTGTTTCATTTGAAATGATGTAATTTGGGAGATTTTCTCATAAATGTTACAAAGCGTTTAGTGGAAATATTTCACTTTTTTAATTTATTAGAAAAGTTTTCTAAAGCAAAGTATGCAGTGAAGTACAATTTATGTGAGAAATCTGAGTGATACTTTTTTCTAATTCAGACATAACTTTCATGAGATTACACAAACTGGCTCAGTGTGAAATCATGTGAAGAACTGTTCTCTGTCATATTACCTTAATCTATAAACTTTTGTTCCAGAAATATTCTGAAGGAGAGAGCAGCCTTCCAGTTCTGTAAAATACTAGTAAATCTGGTGGTATTCAATACACACTGGTTTTGGAGGAAAGTAAGGATATCAAGTTTTGTCCAAGGGATTTTTTTAAAATCTCTTCATAGGTCTTCACAGAGAATAAATCAGAGGCTACATGTGCGAATATATTGTAAAAATTCAGATATTTAAATGCTATTGATTTAGAAGGAAAATATTTACTACATTTGTCTTGGGCCTGAATTCTTTGAGTATGGGCGATTACAATGAGCATGAGTACTTCCATAACTGACTTTCACTTACAATATGAATGTGTAAACAGAGGATCATGCAAAATGTGACTATGCTATGAGTGATCTCCTTTGATTTTCCATGATTTTGGTTAATTAGGATATTAGGACCCCTATTCTCTTCTCCTTTTATCTTGGTGCTATATAGCTGCCTATACAAGAACAGTGTTTGTTAATATGACTACGATTTACAGCATCATTAATATATTTTATGCTATAGTCCTCAAATGTTTTATGATGGACCTGTGCTTTATGATATAAGAAAAGTGAAAGCATGAAAATGTCAAGAAAAAGTATTTACTATACTATTCCTGATATGGGAAATATCCAGCGCTATCTTTATTGAAATATTTGGGAGTCCTAAAGTAATGCACAATATAAAGGTATTTATTTTGGAAAAAGATAATTGAATGACCATTATGGATTTTTTTAGACAATCATATCTGTGCAATTGGTATAAAGAGATCTTGTTACACAACTTAGCATATTCTCAAAGAACCTGTATTCCAATATAAACAATAAGCAGTAGTGTTACTATTCACTTAGGAACTATAGGCTTGGTCCAGAAACATGCAGTGTTTGTACCTGATAGAAGAGTATTACCCATTCAGGTCTACAAATTGGAGACTGAGAAACACAATGGAATATTTATCTTTAAAAAATAAATAAGTGAATAAGAGAAAAGAAAGGAAAGTAGTTGTGCAAGGAGCAGAATCGATTTTGCTGTTGTTATTTACTATCAAATTGTCTCATGAGCAACTCTCATGAGTGGCTTTGTGGATTCTTTTATACCTAATGAAAGCTAAACTCACACTTCAGCCTTTTCCTCCAGGGAAATGATAATAGGATCAGACTTCTGTACCTGACTTTTTGTGAAGCGTGTAGGAACCTGACATTTTTAAACTTTGCATCCCTTCATAATGTATGATTGAAATTAAACTAAACCTTAGAAAGCTGTCATAAGATCTGTGTAAATAGACAGACAGACAAATACTATAAATACACATATCTCATTTCCTTGGGAAACCAGGCATGCTATGTAATATAAAATGTGCACTCGAAGGAATAATGCCAGCAGACTGGGTATTTGTAAACATCATCCTAGTAAGCAGTTGTCCTATCATTACACCACTGTTTTTTATATAGATAATTATAGAAATATTACGGATGCTGTTGTGCAGATCTCTGACAGTAAAGGCTTCAATCCAGTCTGAATCTATACCCTGATGATCTTACATCATCCTGCGCCTGGGTCTGAATACCTACTAGAAGGTCTCTTCTCTGGCTCATGCACAATATGCAGAGGTTTCGAGTATTTTAGTGAGAGTGCAGGGAGCAAAACCAGATCTCCCTGGTTCAGAGAGAAAAGGGTTGGATAATCCATCCCTTGAATAACCTTCTCATAGCTGCTGGTTAACCATGGAGGAGTTCTCATCTACACTATTCCCCAGCCTCTACAAGGTTGCTTATTCTGGAAACCTGAATCTAAGAATGATTTCAATAGAAGTTGCTAAACATTTTGCAGTGCAGTTTATTTGGCACACAAGAAAATTGGTAGCAAATTATTCCAAGTGTGGTACCCTTGCAAGATGTAACAGAAGCTTGGCAAACCTGCTTATTCAGACTCAATTTTCTTTTCTGAGAGAAAGAAAAGAAAATTTTTGATTATTTTGAAATAACCATCTCTTGAATAACTCCACAATATTTGGGGTCCAAAAGCTAGGGACAAATGACTACAAAATCTGCAGACAAATGAATGTTGAAGTTGGTTATGGAGTAGAGCTGTTGCAGTGTTACTGTGACATAGTGAGAAAAAGCTAGCATAAATTGATAAATAATTAATAAAAAATTACGAAGTATTTGGAAAGTAATCTATGGCGATCAAAGAGGCTCTGAAAATACATGAATTTACAGGCAAAGAGCATTGGTTATACTGAACATTGCTGTAGTTAATTATACTTAGTTGTTTTTGTAACAGTTGCAGAGAATTGTAATTAATTGTTTCAATGATGGAGTTTCATTTCCAAAACTGAGAGAGGAGTTGTCTGTGAAGAGGGTTTTCACCTGGAACAGAGGAGCATCTTCCTCTTCCTCACTGGTTTGGACACTCTGAATTCCAACCTTTTCGTATGAAAGCTCTACCTGATCAATTTTTAAAATGCTTTTCCTTTCTTTTCACCTCAGTAATAGTGTATGATTTGTATAGTGAGGAACAGCTTGGTTTCAGAGAAAAAATTGACTGCAGTAGATTCTTTTAAGAAGAATTAGGTAGAATCAGGTAGACCACGGAGCAGTCTCCCAGTTAGACTACTCAGTGGAAGAAAGGCTACCTTCTGGACAAGATACATGTGATTTTTATTGATGGAGTTCTAGGAGAAAATCAAGGAAGGATATTGACATAGCACTAAAAATAGTTGAATAAGACTGAAAAGGAATAAGACATC